CCGTGATGTGACGTTCGTGAATAGTGCCTCTGAGTGAAAACGGGTCTAAGAGAGTCACCCGACAAGCGACCGGGATGACAAGTCGAGTCATGATCGCTCTCGTGTGCGCCATAGGCGACTCTAGATTCAGATGCTCGAGTGAGTGGAGGTCGACCATCTGCCGTATATCATCACCTGGAGATGGATGATAGGCAAGCATATTCTTTGATATGGACCAGATGAAGCGGGCCAGAGCAGGAAGTGAAGCGAGAGTGGTCAGCATCTCGCCTACCGTCCTCCAGATATCACAGCGGCAAATCTTTAACTCGGTTATGGCAGCCGAGAAAAGCGGGCAGGGAAAGGGAACCAAGCAGTGCATTAACGCTATGGACCGCAGACGGTTTGGCATTGTAGCGCCAAACATGACTTCAGGAAGGATGAGTGTCCGTATATCACCTTCGCGCGGCCTTATTGCGATCTCTTCCAGCTCCAGTGCTTTGCGGGCGGACAAGTAAGGCTCTAGTAGAGCCAATGGCAAAGACCTATCGATGACGATGTTCAACGAGCGTATACGATGTAGCTGGTTCAGAATATGAGGAATCGACTGTAGCGGAGTATCGTGATCAATTGAGATGTGGAGAGGATGAAGTCCCGAGAACCGTAGAGCAAGTATGGACATCTCTTGTCCAAAACCAAGTACCATATCAACCCAAAGAATGCGCGTGTCTTCTACAACCTCTTTCCAGTGTTTGCAAACCAGCCGAATAGGGAGGTGATAGCAGCTACTGCGCACGAGTTGTTTCGGATCACTCGGATGGGTAATATTGCAGCCTTGGAGTTGCTCGAATACCAAGCGGAGTAATTCTACGGGAAGGTAGTGGAAAGGGGACGATTCGATGGATTTCGTGACAGGCAGTGGAATCGCATGAGGTTGGAAGAAACATCTATCAAGGGCATCGGTCGGAGGGGAACCTCCCAGGCGCTGATTGTTCCGAGGTCCCTGTCAGTATGTCGTTATTGGCTATTGCAGCAAAGACATGTAGGAATCGAAGCGTACCTCCGGATTGCCTCGGACGTGTTGCTCGATGGGCTCGCTGTAACGGTCAAGAGACCTCTTCCTACATTGATCGTACAGGATCGAAAGGGCAAATATATTCGGAGGTTCAGCGATGTCGTGGGACATGGTTGCCAATGGGTCGGTGGAAACGCTGCAGCTGAGAGTATACGCTATAGTGGCATAGCAGGCGAAGGTGTACGCAAATGATCGGATGGAAAGCCTCCTGGGGCGGAGGAGTCGGCGAAGCATTGGTAGTCCTTTAGGGAGAAGATGTGCCATAACGGTGGTCTCCACGACAGTAGCCGTGTGGGTAGAGATTTTGGGACAACTATTTCTCGACCGCGTTAAGTCTACTCGCGCCGCACGTCAGAACCTCTATGTAGAAGAAATCAGCTCCATACTTGCGAACCTTTAAGATTGTTACACACGAAAACTAGGCACTCAAAGTCTCCCCGACTTCCACAGGCGTGAATGCTTGGACGGCCTCGGGAAAGTTCGACGTTCGAGGGCAAGGTACGACTGGCATCCCAACGTTCGAAACGCCGACTAAGCGCCATGTGGATCGCAGACATTACGTCGGCCCACAAAGGCAGCTTCCATGAGACGTTTGTCGACCATGCTGCAGCCGGGGGTGACAGATCATGAGTGCATAGCTGGGTCCCATCTGTCCTCGTAGACAGGAGTACATCCATAGAAGACTACGTGAGCACGACACGACTATGAACTTGACATGGTGGTAGAATTCCAACGCACAAGCGCTGCATATACAGCATGTACAGAAGCGCGAGATGATGCCATCTATCTTCAGGCACGGGTTCTCGCAGTCCGGCCTAGACCCTTCGCGCCACGATTCGATCGGAGGAAACCCCTGCCCGATAAAAGTGCATTTATTTGGTAACTATAAGGGGGAATCATGGCAATGTAATCAGGTGAAGAGGCAAGCAGGTATGGATGGGTCAAGTACGAAGACTTGGCGAGGTCAGAGACGTGCGAAAGGTGCACGCAGTGGTGGCCGAAAAGAGAGTTGCACAGATCTCAATCAAGGCAATCCCACACGTAAGGGCGGGGCGCGCGTCCTCACAGGCCTCTACTCCAACCGCCACGACGTTCTGTGTACCCCTTCTCTATTCTCCATTACCGTTGATATCAACAACGTCCGTGGGAGAGGTCTTTTCGCGACTGCCGTATGACAGGTCTCTATTGTCTGCGCCGACCTGGGCAACAGCATACTACACGTCCTACTTACCCGGACCTGGGCACGGGTCTAGCAGCAACAACTCCAAGGGCTGATGCGCGGCAGATGATCTAGCTGGTCAACGACGACGTGTGCGCTAGAAAGGACATTAGTCGGAAGTACTCGGTGAGGTGATCATATTCGAGGCAGACGCGGTTGACGGTCTACTCTGAGGCCCCTGCGGTTACGGTATGCCTTCTCGTACCCGTTGCTAGAGAATTGCCGTGACTTACGCCTATGTGACCCATTCACTTCCGCGGTCTGGCGAGGAGTACGCGGCAGATCTAGAGGCACACAAGACTCACGACGCCGGCGCACCGCGGCTCCCACACCGCCGTCGTCTTATTCCTCCACATCGCTTGTCGTTTCCTCGACGACCTATCTCATCACACACCGTGCTGAAAGGGCGTTGCATGCTGACTGATTCTCGCAGAACGTTCTACGCTTGTGTTTGACGCGTTCGGCAAGGTGGTCGGCGCGTCAATCACGGTTCACTTCCTCAGGTCGCTGAAAAAGGGCCACCGAGTGCGTCCAAAGTACGCAACGCGTTCAAGTACTGTGCAGCTCATTTTGAACACGCCTTTAGCTGCCCCGACGATCACATCGAGGATACATCGCCATACATAGTTGCTAGGCCTGAGCTTATAGCGTGTCGCCAGGTGGTCGGGCAGCAGACGTCTATAGCGTGCGATGAGCATCCCGAGATCTAGCCGGTTCTGCTATGGGACACCACGGTGGTCAACTACTATCACTGATCCGCGCCTGCTCTCGTCTCGTCTAGACAAATGGACTGGTCCCAGATTTCTCATGAGGCACCGAGCAGCAGCAGCTGTTACCCACTGGCAACTCAACCCTCATTGCGCCCATTCTACTTCTCTTCCCCCGGACCCGCAGCTCACGCTCGCGCGCTAGTTTGTTGCGCCAAATGTTCCCGAGCGGCCCGCCACTAGGCCAAGACGGCTCAGTTCCCGACCCTGACAGTAACGAGCGGTTCTGTTTACACCTCTCTCGCAGCTAATACCCTCCTTCCAGGAGTTGCGAGTGCTCCTGCGAAGAAACGGCATTAAAAGGCAACAAAAGTCAGTTCCATATGGTGTTTTGTTCTTGAGATACGATTACATAGCTGATATCGTGCCAGACGGCGTCCGCAAATTCGCGCGCACATACTTGGCGTGGCGGACCGCGAAAATGATCGAACGGTCCACCGGAAATTTGGGCCGGATTTCCACGGTAGGACGATACCATACCTTACTCCGTGCAGCCTATGTGGGGGCCACCAGAGCCCTCTTTGCGTATCAGTCTCGTGTTGGAGTATGCTCGTAACGAAAGAGCTGCACGACCGCGATCTTCGACGCGCGGTGTTCGATCACTGTCCGTCACCCCGAGTACAATCCAAACCCCGTATGTGCAGTATTACCTCTTGCACGAGCTCATTTGTCGCAGACTCCTTATCAGCCTTGGTATTTCGCCGGCCCTTGTTGTCAGTGAGTGCTGTACTTGTGCTAGATATTGTCATAAACCCCTGCTAAATCCAGTCACAGCTGCATCTTACTCCACTCTCAAGGTTTCCATCTGCTACCGTACTTGGTCTCGGACTCTTCTACACGTACATGTATCCTAGGCTCGGCGTTCGCCCGTGGGTTTAACTATGCTGTAGTGTACTCTTATCTGTATGACCGATGCCACCAAATATACGTATTCTAATCATTATCCTACGAGGGAACTGGTCAGGGGTTCGGAGCTGGAGGGCTTTGGTACAACTGGTCAGCACTCCAAAGCTCGTTGTACTGGTGAGGCTACTCTACAAGTAGCTACAACGGTGGTCGCACGACGCGCGTTTAGCGCGGATTAGATCGTGGCGCTCGCGCTTTTTCTGCTTGGAACATTCTCCGTGACGCGGCGCGTCTCAGGTGCGCGTACCAGCAGCACGCCAACAGGCCGTGTGCCCCCGTTCACCTTTGCGGGATAGCGTCACTGGAGCGCGTCTCGATGGCAAGGCTTATTTTGCGAGACGAAAGTCCAAAACAGCGTTGACAAATACAGTATGGAAGTAGGTAGTACGTAGACAGTAAAACTACTCCGTGAAAGTCGAAGCAAGGGAAGTGGTGGATGTATGTAGTAGGCAATTGATTCAAAAAGCTGTAAGAGTGGCACACGGTCGATATGGTTGGGAATCCGCACGGGAATATCGCTGTCAAAGGGTATATGAATCGTCAGTACAGCATGCACATCATCTGGGGGTGAGCAGAGAACGCGAGAGCTAGTCCAGTAGTGACATTCAATCCGAGTCGGGATCAGGCTTGATCACAAGCCGCGCGTCGTGAACGTCAGCAGGCAGCAAGGTGCGACCAGTACCAGAACGATGCGGCGTCATCGGCTCCCCAGCCACGTTTGCCACCATTTCCTTGCGCTTGTGCCCGCGTTGACCACGCCGCGAAATCGTCGGATACTCGCATGGCAGATCGCGCTTCGCGCACTGTCTGTGATTGTATAGTCAGAATACTTGTTCGGGCTGCGCGGATCGAGAACAGAGCGCGGCAAAGAGAGTTTTGGGACACATGTCACGATAACAAGAGATCTCCGCTGATAGCGCAATCCGTACGGCGTACGTGCCAGAACGGTTTCAGGCAGCGGAAACTCCGCACTCGTATAAAGTGCGGGATGGAATTGCAATCAGGCGTCTCTCATCACCACATCTAGGCTCGCTCCGCTCAGCAAGAGAACCGGTACTCACTCGCATCTCTTGTCCTCGCTGCCTGGTACTGGATTGCACGATATTTTGCGTCCGCGACAGAAGAAACACGCAACAAACCCCGGATCCTTCCGGGGACCTTTGTTAGGGCCGCGGGTACGCTTCACTCGACGCGGTTGCGGCTCGGTCTCCGCAGGCGAACCACTCGGTCTTGCGCGCAAGGACGTGCTTGGCGTCGTCAAATCCGGCGATCCTGTCTCGTGGATGAAGGAGACGTCGTGCATATGATCTTGTTCGATATCTTCGATCTTATCCGGCGTGATCGGCAGTGCTTCGAAGCCGTGGATCGGCGGCCTCGGCGATACGTTCTGGGATGAAGGCGGCTGTGCGCTCGCGCTGAGCGGAGGCGGCGCGCGGGTACTCGGGCTTAAGCTTGTCGGCAAGTCGAATTTGAATGTGATATCCCCGAGAGCGTTCGAGAGACTGCTGGACTGCGAACATGACGCTTCCGGGATTGGCGGTACGATGGATGGCTGCCACCAATCGTTGCTGATCGTGTATGGTTGCGTATTCGTAGAGGCGTTCTCTAGCGGCAGCGCGCAATGCCCATGCAGATAGCTGTGGTGTACATGACGACGGTGACGACTCTCCGCGTAGCCGACTTCCACCTGCCGCTTCGTTAGCTGCATGCACAGGGACAAGAGACTGAGCGGCTTACCGGGTGCGGCGCGTCATTCGACGCGACAAAACTCTGCCCACTCTCTCTTGTTTTTGTGTTGTGCGGCGGGAGTGGGGAGAAGCCGGCGGTATGCGCAATCGGGGCGGGTGCGGGATTCGTAGTCCAATAGACGTATCCAGCACTACCGTGCGTAGCGGTATATCCGTAGTGATCGATAGGGACCGCGTCGTAACGAGCTTGCACATGCGCGCTTTGCGGTACACGATAAGGATTTGCCTGAGTGAGGAAAGCCTTACAGAGCGTAAGAGTACATCAATCGTAGAATCCAAACACACCTACCGGAGGTTCGTGGTGGTAGGGCATGCACCCATATCCACCCCACGCCCGATGTTGAGGCTCGTAGTGCGAGGAGGCATCCCCCTCACGCGCAGTAGGGTGGTACCAAGAGGTCGAGCCATTTGCGCTAGACATCTTCGATGAGACAAAGAAGAGCGACGGGGGTTTGAGCCGGGGATGTGCCGAAAAGATAAACGGGAAGTGAGTTCTGAACAGCTCCAGATATAAGAATCCCGATGGCAGGGGTGCTGCTCAAGACTAGGCCTAGCGCCCAATGATTTCATGTCGGCGCTAGTACTCGTAAATCAGACCGCACGCGAACCGCTGCAAGCACCGGAAGAGAGTAAACACGCGCCGAGATGAGGGAAAGAAGAACACGTAGAATCGGGCTTGGAAGAAGGGTCCGTGGATCAGGCAACAATCCACCCCATCGTCATCCCCACGCGCGCTCATTGACTGTACACAGGATCTTCCCTAGTATATTTGTCAAGCGTGACTGTGCAGAGCACATATCCAAGCCCACCTCCGAGTTTGAGCTGAAAGGAACGGGATGAAAATGAGTAAGCTCATAGGTTGAATGCATTGCACGAGAAGGCGAAGCCCGCTGACATGCAATCACGAGATGGATCGTCTGAAGAAGAGCACTCGATGAAAACGTAATGTGGGCCGCCGTCAAATGTGCAGATCAAGTCGAAGCCTTCGAAAGCGAAGCCGTCGGTGATGACGAATGTTCATATACATACCGCGCAGAATACATCACGGTGGGGCATTACAAAGGGAGCTAGTGGACCACGGTTCAGCGCACTTGTTGGTCCAGAAGTTTTTGAGACTCTTCTCGTCTGCGTGCTCGAGTCGCACTTAGAGCGCACCTCAGCTCGGTAGTTCTAGCGTAGCTTGCTCTTCAGAAAACTCGCGTCTTGCTGAAGACGGAGCGGTTACCTCGGCGCGCCCGCCATGCACTGACTTGTAAATCGAGACTTGCGATGCATAACGGGTATAACCGGGCGCACATAGGGACCGCCAAGCATACGCGGACCTTGAACGCCGGCAGCCGTCGAAGTATGATCGGGTGCTCTAGTGGAATATGGGCTTCCGACGCGAAGATAGGGGCTTCCGACGCGAAAGATCATGCGCTATAGCGAGTGTACGTCAATGAGCATGCTGTCCAAGGACCAGACGTTCAGGAAGACATACATCTGCGGCCCACGGCTATCGGGGATTCGAAGACGAAAGGAGGGGAAGGCGGCGCGGCCGTATAGCCCTAACCCAGCCCATTACACCTCAATTCGCCTACCACGAAGTCTTGCATGAGCGCAAGGCCATCGTGTCTTATGGGTGGGTACTACTGACCTTTCAGTAGATGCCGGTATCAACAATGCTGGCAGTTGCACAGTCCGTTACTCCACCAGACGCAGGCGCGATGCAACGGCCTGTTCGGGTTTCGACCTCGGCAGCACAAAAGGAAGAACTAAAATGCACGCCTGATGCTCGTGTTCGACTTCCACTTTCCGCCTGTTTTCCGTCCGAAGTTAATCAGAAGGTTTGACTAAAAGACTTGTACAATCATCGAGCATCAGGGTGGTTGTGCAACAAGTGTATGCCGCTGTTCAGCGTCATTCCCATCGCCCTGCACGTTGGGGGGCGCACATTGTATTGTGACAGCGCGAGGGCATCCTATGATAATAAAGCTACACAGGCAATCAAACGGTTGATGCGTAGGCGCTTGAGCAAGAGGGAGAGGGAGGGGTACTGTAGTACGTGCGGCTTCTCCCATTGTCAGCAGACCGACAAGCGATACTTCAGTGAGAGGGTTACGAGTTCCGAGCCGCTATGAAGGAGGGTTAGTGTATGGGTACTGGGCGTCATCAAGGGGAGAAACGCACTTGAAGCCTCGGACGAGACCGTTCTGGTGGTATTTGTTACGTCCGCGAAGGTCTGGGAGAGCGTCCTCCTTGCGCTTGACAGTCCGGTCCCAGATGACGACCTAATATTGAAACTAGACGCCGATCAGTACTGGGGTAAGATGATCAAAAATACTGTAGCTTCGTTTAGACTTACCCCACACGAGTTCGCGCACTCCGCCTGCATCCAGACAAATAATTGCTTCGTGTTCTAGTTGAACAACGGTCGGACATCTTCAAGGGACCTTCAGCATGCACTCGAGTAGAAAAGACGGCTGTATAGACCAGCTTCGATGTTGAAGTTCACGTGGCCCTGATCGAGCCTGGGGCAGCGTATGCGAGATGTATGCGTCTTGATCCTGTAGCTAGACTTGGCGGAGCTTGTCTCGGTTTGAACTCATGGTGCGCGCACGTTGAACGACTTGATGTCCAGGGTGTCTTTAGGATCGGCCTTGAATATGCATGCTGACGCCGCGATCGCGGTCAATAGCACCATCAGACATGTTAGCACTGTTGCTGCCGAGGTATCATGTATCCTGAGATAGTCGGCGCGCGTGATATTAGAGTTGCCTGGGGACCAAAATGAGTGGCGAAGGCAAGAAGCAGACGCGTTGCAAGCACACGCGCGACGTGTCCAACAGTCGAGCGCGCGTCAACACCGTCTCGGGAGTCTCAGATCCTGTTGTACGCCCCTTGGTCCTCAACCATCGTCATCGCTCTGCTAGCGCCTGTCTACGATGGAGGATCCTAGAACCCGGCATAGAGTTCTTCGTCAACTGGCGAGCCGCGCGGTACACTCTTTCTTTGCTGATGTCTTGACCATAAACGGCGACATCGTACCACGCGTGAGTATACTCTTGGTATCAATGGACTGTAGGGAGTGCCCTTCGAGGGATGCTGCCAGTCTGTTTCTCACGAATATCACAGACGCGTTCCCTTGCTCGCGTGTTCCCGCATGCAAGCCGGGCGGCAGCATGAGCGCCTGCGTACGATCGGTGCGCGTGATACGAGATACTCAACTATGCATCACATCTGGGTGTACTGACATCCGCGCATCATGCAAATTCAGGGCGTCCTCTAGTACGCCGTACGCATACGCGAATTGGGCGGAGAAGACCCCGGAGAAGGCCAGGCACTCGCCCCATTGTTTACACGCACAAGTCAAAGTGCCGCAGTTCTGTGAGTACAATGCCTCCCCTTTGTTGCATGCGTAGTCATCACATCGTAGATCATCGCGCGGTAAGTTATTCGCCGACATAATGGGCATTCTATCCATACAGCCCCAAGGCATGACAACCTTACCTCAATGAGACACTGACTCAAGCTCGAGGCTGAGCTTGTCGCTCGGACGCTGAATACTCCGGACCGGTCAAGGCGGCGTTTTGCTACATATGCTTAAGACTGAAGATCACTAGGGATACTCTATTTACGGTGCGCGTGGTACGCGACCTCTGGCCGGGCGACTCAAACTTGGCCCCTTAGAACTACGTCCTCGTGTCATAAACGTAAGTCTCTATGGGTTGCTAGTGGTTCTAGCCTGACTGAACGACCTCTTAACTTGGTCAGTTTGCTCGCCACGCCGGATGGCACCGCTAACTTCAAGCATATTAAACGTTCTTTACTCGAGTACTGCGCGCTCATGCAGTCGACCTACCTCACTAACGCTGCTCAGGCGTCGCTTCCTCTTCGATGCAAACCACCCTGTTCCTATCCCCGGTCACGTCCTGACTCTGCTGATCGAATACGCGGCACCGTATGCAGCCACGCTCTGCTCCCTTCGTGTTGCCGCTCTTCATACATGCACCGGCATACGTCATGGGCTATCTGGGAGCTCTATTCATTCAGGATGAGGAGACGCAGGCGCAAGACAAGGCCGTCTTCGGCTTATTCTGCGTTTCACTGGCATTTCCCACCGTTTTCGTCCTCCTCTGGGCTTTCCTCTACTACTCTCCCATCAGTGCCTCGATCTTACTGGACCTTGACATTATTACTGGCATAGTATCACGTTATCCTCCTGAAGGGTTCGTTCATCCATCTGTCGGCATCGCTTTGGTACTGATCCAACTGTTAGACGCGTACATGCACATGAGGCGCATTCAGGCTACCTGGCGCGTTCTATTAGGCTTCTGGGCCCTAAAGCCCTGCGAATACTCTATCACTACACTGCAGCAATACATCATCACTCCGTCGCATCCATGGGTCAACAAGGGCCCCTCAACGCCGGTTGACGCACCGAAGGTCGAAGTAACGACAAGTACAATGCACATTTGTGTGCTCCACGAGCCGTTAGTGAAGCCACGCCATGCGCGCCCGCGCTCCAGCCGTGTGATGCGCCACGTTCTGCGCGCACGCGCAGAGGCTGCATCTGCACTCGCTGCTTTCTTCGGCACACGAGCGCTCACCGGCCGTACCCGTCTGTGCATCTGCCTACCTAGCTCGTGCGTTCCACGGTACTGTGGCGACAAGGACTCCGTCGTCTGGATGATCGAGGCGGTGTACGCCGCTTCCGCTCTCGAATCTTTCGACGCCTCTCAAGCACGTACTATATAGTGCATGCTCTTGTACGGCCCATGACGCACCGAGAGGTTACTCCGACTCGTGGACACTAATGCGTACGACCTGCGCGTCGCGGTTGGATAAGCCTGTCGAGGCCGGAACCGTGATGCGCCGCCTTTCCGCCCCTTTCACAATCACGACGAGTACACCAGGGACCTGGTCGCGCGCACGACCGGGCCTTGCAGTGACAACATGACGCATGAGCGCGAGCAAGCTCTCAGTCGCAACACATCGTGGCCCTCACTCTCCAGGCGAGGGGTTTGGTTCAGCACCGTAGTCGAAGGGTGAGGTGGACAGGCGCAAGGCCGATAGCTCTGCAGCATTCCCCGCGCAATGCGCCAGTCATCTCCATCGCTTACAGTTACTGGCGGCACCCCCCAAAACGTATCAAGTTTGAAGACCTTGTTTAGTCCAAGGCTGAGAAGGAACAACTAGCTGCTTGGCACTTCTAGCTCTACAAGCGCTACTGCAGTTGGGTCCTGCGCGCTAGTAGTGAGGTTGCTCAGTTCCCCAGAACGCTGTAGGCTGCTGTACTACTCGGTGCGCGCGTTTGAATGTAGAATCCGCGACCAGACAATAGATGAACACGAAATACATACTATGTGTGGTCCAGCGCCTGTCCTAATCTCGTGAGACCACATGAAAAATCTATTCCTGCGTTCGAACACATTAAAGTGCGCAAGGCATGCGAGTCAATGTGACGCAGCCACGGATGCCTCTTATTAGATGTACGATGGCGATACTGGGAGTCTGATCGGGATCGGTTCAACAAATAAAGTTCATATAATTGGTGCTACAGTGTTTCAACATGACGTAATCGTAAACATGCGTGCTACATAGATCAAGGCCAACACGAGATGAAAACGATCCACACCCAATATATCGAGTATATGAAGGCTCCGGTCAACGTCAAGATGGTACGAACCATTGAGCTGATCACCCAAGACACGATGCCTATCACGTACTTCTCTCCAACGTAGAGGCCGTTCGCAAGCCATTCGACCGGACCGCTTGAGATACTGATGTTGAGCGGCATAGCATCGGCAGGCTCGAGGAACCACACGATTATGAAGCATATCACAGCGAATACCGCAAGCGACGTATGGCGAGGCACGGCAATTCGATGTGGGTGTTTGATACCGATGTCCGCGCACCATTGCTTAAGCGCATTGCTGACGATGAAGCGCACGAGAAACCCTGTACCTTTTCAGATCATGGATGGAACATGGGACGATAATAATACTCACCGCGCAAGTCCAATAGGCCGAAGTAGGAGGGGCCCATAGGGGCCGGAGTGCGCGGAACTACTTGACCTGGCGTCGTCAGTACCAAGGCGGCAGGACCGACGAGGTACCCATTCTGGCGCGACACTCCCATAGCAGCGACTTGTTGGGATACGGACAGAGAGAGCGTCGTTGAAGGTGAGTCGCCGTCAGCCAAGCGCGGGTCTAGAAGTGGTCAGAAATCGAAGCCCGATACATGTAACGAAAACGCACCTGACGCATATCCGTATTCACGGGAAGGGGGCGGTAGGGTTTCTCCTCCACTCGAAGCTACAGATATGAATGAAACGGAGGATCTAACACCTGTCAGGTAGGCGTACCTGCGGCCTCTTCAGGCCCTTGAGAAGGGCATCCGAAGCTTTGCTCGAATTCCTGGAAACGTTCGAACAAACGAGCAATTTCTGTGGCGAAACGCTCCATCTCGGCAAGGATATGAGCTACACAGCGTTTGAGACTTCGTAAGCAGAATGCTACTGGGTGGGACGGTGGGACGTACAGTGATCTTCGTGACGAGTTTGATTACCATCATCCACAGCGGTGCGCAGATCAGCGACAGCCGACTCGAGCCCTGGAACGGTTAGGTAAGACAATGCATGAATAGGAGCAATGAAAAGACTGGCCCTTGTACAACTTATGAAAGGATGTGCGGGTAGCGCTCATGACCTGAGACGTCTCGGACACGTGTGCGGCGCTCGACAGGTTCACAGAATCTACCCAGTATCAGTCAAATGCCAGACTGGCGGGGACAATCACATACCTTCCAGTGCCTTCCTCGCCTTTTTCTCCTCGTGTACCACCCGCTTGAGATCGCCCAGACGCCCCTCAACGGAGCTGAACCAGTCGGTATACTGCCGGTCTAGTTCCTCCACGACCGAGCTGGCGGAGGAAAACTTGCTGCGCACATACGTTTTGAGAGAGCGAATCTGGCTAATGAATCGGCGGTCCTGGTCCTGGAGGAGCTCTTCGACGGACTTCTGCCTGGCTTGAGACGAGATGAGTATCGAGAAAAATGCAGGCGTCTGCAGATCCGAGACGCACCATCCGCGTCCTCAATAAATGCAGGCCTTAAGGGCTTGGTTCGTAGCTCCAACGCGGAACTCGAAGTCGGCATGCTGGTACGACAGTCGGACTCAACGTCGTGAACCAGGATGGAGTTCAATTGTTCGAGACGGACGGCTCTTGTCTGGCGTCAGTGAGCAATTATAGAATTGGAAGCTAGCAGCGTACCACAATAAACCCGTAGCCTGCCGCGATCCATTTAGTTGCTGACTGCAACCCAGCCACAAAGGGCGTAGCTCGATCTTCTACGCAATAGAACGTCTGCAAGTGGAACGAGTGCAATTCAGTACAAGCTCGCCCTTGAAGTATTTGGGACGTACCGCAAGAGTCTGCGCGAACATACACGAGACCGGACGGTTTGAAGAATACGCATGCGACCAGAGGCGCGTTGTTGACAAGGTTGGTGGTTGATCGTCTCAACGGAGCTTGAGCCAGACTTGGCCGACCGGTCACGCAGGAATCACACGAAAGAAGATGCTCATGCCACAAATAATATTTACTGAGTAGCTCGCGTCTCAGTGGTCAGTTCTTACTCGTAGCAGGTCATAGAAACGTCTATGATGACTACAGATGCTATTCCTATCCCACAAAGAAGATATTGGTGACATCCGACGAGGCGTGATACATGTCACACTCGGATGATGTGACAGCCGGCCGTCTGTCACGTTGAGAGTTCATCATGCCGAAATCTCCACCATCATCTCAGACTAGGGTCTCATGCCTGTCTGGCAGTCCCCCAACTCGGCTGACGGGGATGTCGCGGTACGAGTACGCTCTCCCATGAACAAAGGCACCTAACGAGCACTGCACAGTCGACCTCTCGCTATTCGCGAAGGGTTGCGGCTCTCGTCCATCGACCTGTCTGAGACTTCGCTACACGGGGGCCAGGATCTGCAGAGCGCCCGGATGGTTGAACTGGCTCGACCCGCGCCATCCCATTAAAGGTGTGCAGGTATAAGTTCCCGACTCCTAAATCCCCTTGGCCAATTTCGATACGCAGGTCCTGACGACATCGCGACTACTCTTGGGCCCCTCCGATCTCACATCTTGCGCAAGACTAAAGGGTGCGTGCCCAGAACACGACACGACTGCTTCGGGACCATACTGAAGTTGTCTCGCAGAGCAGAATCTATGAATACTCCGGCTCCACTATTCACAGCTCTCCAAGCGCTATACTCGGGTACTTCTGTTACTCGTCCAAGTACATCTCACATACTCACTGTTCAACCGCTAGAGCTCAAGGAACGACACTCACTGCAAGACGAACTTAATAGTCTTGTCGGAGACCTCACCTCTAGTCTGAACTCGAGGGATGAGGACGACGATGGCGTGCGAGGACCGACCTTGTTGGAGGATTTGGTGACGATGCACAGGAACCTGAAGGAACAGGAGAGCATACGCGTATATGTCGGGGTCGTCCAGAGAGCGCTCGTCCTGAGGTGCGCATTCGCCATATATGGATATCCGTCCGAAATAGCTAATAATCTGCCAGCGAGGCGGTGGTCAAGCAAGCGCGCGAGTCGGCGCCGATTGGCGTGGGACAATACATCGCGCCGCGTCAGTACGCCGAGTCCGTATCCGGATTATGCGCGCAAATCGGAGAGGCGACGGGTCAACCAGAGACGACACTGCGCCTCGTAACATTCGTACAGGAGATCAGAGATAAGACGTGGGGCGACATCAAGTCCGCGCTGACTAGGTTCGTGGACCATACTTCTTGGAGACTCGGAGCGAAACGAAGACTGATATGCATGGAAGCGAGCTATTGACGGCGGCGGAGAAGATTGGCTGGCCGAAGCCTGTGGATTGCAGTGCGGTCCAGGAGGCGGATAGAGCTGTGTTCGCCAAAGCGTTCCGAAGACTGCTGGAGCTGCAAACGATGTATGCCGATCTATCTTTACTGCTTGTCTTGCCACCACTGACAGCCCCGCAGCGGACAGCGTGTACATGACGCGGCCGGTGGCGCGCCTGACTCTGCGCCCGGCCTGTACGCTCTACAAGCCCTCGTGCAACCCGTCGCGCTTAGATTCAAGTACCACTTCGAAGGCACACGAGCGACGAACAAGCTTGATAAGGTCCGTGCTTCTCTTATGGTCTCGGTACGGTCTATTCAGAGCGATCATGCTGACGAATGCCGGGCGTACCGCTATAGCCCGAATGGTACTTCACTCACATCCTAAACGTCGCACATGAGCACCGCGAGTTCATGGAAGGTGTCGTACAGCTATTCTTGCAGAGTACGCCGTACAAGGAAGTCGACGCATGGGTACGTTCTTTGCATCATCACCATCTAATGTTCCCTTCGCGCTAATCCACGGTATGGTCGGACAGAGAGAGTTCGCGTTCAACCTGTTACCGCTTTTGCATCGCCGCATCAAACGCACCATGCCATTGTTGCTCCCGCACCCGCCGCTCCTTGCGCACACGATCTGCCAAGCGCTAGCATTCGATGCGGCCCTGCGCGAAGAAGGGTTCGGCCTGAGCGGCACGTACACGGCTCTATCGGCTTCTACGCCTGTCGTGGAAGAGTGGAATGGCGTCAGCGCGACCATACTCGACAGGAAGGAGTGGCTGGATCACTGGATCGAATCCGAGCGGGACTTTGCGCTGGAGCAGTACAACGATATCATGCTTGCGCCTGATGCGTGGACGTTCGCGGACGTATCTGAAACTGATGCGCCTGCCCATGCGGGGGAGCTCAAGCCTACCATTTCCGCACGTCGGCTTACGGCGCTTCTGGCGGGCGCAACAGATCGTATGGTGCCGCTCCCCGCCGCGTCGCAGCGTGCGTGGTTCTTGACGGCTGTCCAGCTCCCGCTGCTCGACTCGTATCGCGTGCGTGTATCAGCCTCGCTTGACGCGTTTGAGACGCTCAGCCACTCGCTCGTGCGTGCTGTACCCGCAGCATTGAGTGCAGCCGTGACGAGCGAATGTCGGGGCGCGGCGCACCTCATCAGTGGCGTCGAGGGCGCTGGGAGGTTGATCAAGGCGTTGATGAGTGCGATGTGGGTTCGACAGGCTATGGGGCGGTGGGGTGAAGAGATCATCATGATCTTCCTCGAGCTATGTGCCGATATGCATGTCCAAGCTGCGCTGCGCGTACGCGCCGAAGGCAATCCTCTCCTGCCCAACCCCGCACCGGCATCGTCGGCGGTTGATGCTGCGCCCGACGGCACGCTGTTTGATGTGCTCGTCACAGCATATGCTGAGCTCGTGCGTGAAGCGGAGGACATGCTCGTCCAGCTGGTCACGGCTGAAGTCGAAGGGCTGTTGAAGCATTACTTCGCCGAGCTGCATGGAGATGATCAGCCCATGTCATCAGCTGATACGCTCATCAGCCCCGCGTTACTTCCTGGATTGGCTGTATTCGGACAACACATCCATGCCCTTGCGCAAGTTCTTCCCCTCAGCATCCACCGCGGAGTATACAAGCGCATCGCGTAGGCTCTATGCACGCACATCCCCCAACGCGCACTCCTCTACCGTCGGCCCGGCCGTGTGCCTGTCGAGCAGGGTAAGCGGCTCCAAGGCGAAATGGCGCTGTGGGCCGAGACGGCGCGCGGGGCGTTGCCTGCTGGTGTTAGAGCCGAGGCGCCTTGGGCGAGGCTCGTGCAGGCTGGCAGAGTCGTCGGTGCTGAGGGCGATGTCTGGGAGGGCGTGTTGAGGGTTGCGAGCGGGTTTTACGGGTTGGATAATATGGAGGAGTATGTGGGTGGGACGGAGTTGAGCGAGGAGGAGGTCGGGATGATTGTTGGGGTTCGCGCGGATTATGATGCTTGAATTGTCCCGTTGTCTCTCGTTCAGTCCATGTACAATTTCATCATAGGATTGCATTTGTGTATGATCATGCGGATGTCGAGAAGCGCGAGGTAGATGAGAAGAGGTATGAGATGTGGAGCGGAAACGGAGCCGGTGTGTATGGCACAGTTCATGCGCGAGAAGCTAGGGGCTCAAGACATAATCAGCGATCCCAGTTTTCATGGTCAAACTCCAGTCTTCGACGAGCTCTTTCATGGAACTATTCCTACCTTCTCATCCCCGCCATCTTGGTCCACGCCTTCTCGAAGCACGAAGCACGGTAACAGCTCCTATGATGGCCGGTTCAACACTGGGACAGTATTGGTCAACCTGGAGTCGCCCCCCACAACACGAGTGGACAGACTCTTTACTCGCAAACCAATACGACCGCCAAGACTCGTCCTGAACACTTCCTGTTCACGCTCTGCGTGCAGCTTCTCGAGTTCATCACCTCGAGTCTTCACCATAACATGAGTTAGAGCACAGTAGCAGTGCCGACGGACGAGCGTGGCGACACTAAAGTCGAGACTATCAAGCGCGAAAAGGGGCGCTCCAGACAGGAGTAGCAGGCAATAGTGCTGACGCAGAGCGTGCCGGCTGAGCATATGATCGCGCTCTTCGCCACATACCCCAGCATCTGGAAGTCCTTCATCCGAGTCCTGCCTCCTTCTTCCGAGTCCTGCCTCAACGGCGATCGCCTATGACGGGGTGATCTTCACTGGCTAGACCTCAAGCATTGACTGAAACCATGATATGCGGAAGAGATCGACTACTCGCATCGAAGACTACCAAGTGCTGGCTTCCTGGCTCCTTCGAGACAGAAAACCTGTGCGAGCCTTACAGTCAGGTCGCGAGATCGTGAAGATGGGAGCAGGTGTCGTCGCTTGGTTTTCGAACGAGCTCTTGAGTTGGAGATGGGACAATCGACGCTCGAGCTCTAGCTAACAACGTGCGTGTGATAGCTGCGCGTGCATGCGGCTGAGAATATCTTATAGCTACTTGTCTCCTTTCTGTACAAGCATTATCCATATCTAGATTGGACGTAAAGCGCATCATTCACAGTGTGCTGCGCTTTTGGCGCGTGTCATTGTGAGCGGGGCAAGCGGCTCAGTGTCCGCCACTGTAAACGCAGGCACGCACGCAGGCAGGACGTCTGGTTCCTCTCAGCCACCTCACCCATAGGCTCATGCGTTATATGGCTCGTCAGTCTCTTATGCCCTCAGCATCTCGCCAATTTGCACCGTTCAAGCGAGAGGGGCTTCGAAATGTCTGTATAAACAAAATACTGCCCAACTAGGGTGGTATTAGACGTTCGGGTTCGATCGGTCGTGGTCAATCAGACCCACCTCTCATCTCACGTGATCGTGTCTCGGCATCGGCCGGCACTAGAAAACGAAAGGAACTAGCGCGTTGCAGTTCGCAAGCGTCGCGCTGCACCACACTGTACGCAGAAGATTTGCAGCCTCTGTCTACCGCTTCTCTGGCTTGCGCAAAAGTCTTTTGTTTCTTTGCACGTCGCCTAACCGCATGGGTCAGAGGCACTCTGCTTAGATCCCTCGAACCTCATGGCACAGCGCAGCACTACCTCGCCCTGAGGCGGTTATCTTCAACAAAGCAAGTAGCGCGTGGGTTTTCTGGGCGCGGCTATTCCCTTGATCTGGCCAGGAAGCGTTCTTTGGGCCGCCTTATACCTCCACACCAACGTTCACCTTGAGGCTGCGCTGATCATCGCGTATCTGGTCGGGCACTAGCTTCTACTCTTTCTTCCGTCGTCCGGTGTGTGTCTCGTGGACGTGCCCTTTCTTCAAGTCGTACACGCATCACGTACTCATCGTCACCTGGCACCATGTAGATATCCAGCACAATGACCAGCACAGTGCTGGCCACATCCACTTGCCAGCTTTCATCGCAACGAGTCAAAAGGCGGACACCCCGAGGCTGAGCTTTATTTTGCTTCCTCTCCTGCATCCTCACTTCGAGCCAATATACAACTGCTAGTCTACACCCCTCCGGACGCAGAAATACATACACCGGTATCTGGCGACATGTTCAATTCCCAGATGGACTGGCTGAACCGGGTGGGCTACCTGACGCCTGCCGGCGACGCAGACTTGATCGTCAACTATACCGGCCGTCAGGACCTGTTCAACACTCGTCCGTCGTATCATATCGGACGCGGTACCGACGTGCAAATCAAGGTTCATCCCTCGAGACTAACAGCCAGTAAGAACAGCCGCCTTCATCGCAAGCCGTATACTAATAACCAATCTCGCCGAAGGCATGTTGCATGCGATTCTTCGTTGGGATGCTGAATCCAACGTATTCACTCTTGAAGACTGTCTCTCGAGCAATGGCACATACGTGCGTTTCTTCATTGGCTCCTCCGGTTCAGTACCTCACTGACGTCACGGGCCTCCGCTCTAGGTCAATGGTTTCAGACTCAATACTCATGAGCGACTCGTTCTGCGCAACGGTGATCATATCTCTCTGGGACCGCCCTGTGTCAAAGTTTGTGGTGAGTCCACTAAATACGCTTATCTTACCAGACACTTGTGCTGATGATCTACGTAGGGTTCATCTATCACGGGCTTCTCGACCTCGACGATTTCGTTCAGGACTACGCTGTGCAACGTAGTCTCGGTATAGGAGGGCACGGGCAAGTGTATGAGATGAGGCTTCGTGTCTGTCCAAGTCAGGTCTTCGCCGTTAAGGTGATGACTTACGATGCCGATGATCATGGACGAAGGTCTCAAGCCAGTGCTCTTGAAGAAGTCCGCGCCCTGCGGTTGGTCGGCAATCACCCCAACATCTGTCCCCTCGTTGCCGACTACGTACTTCCGGAACAGAGAGTCATTTGTACGGTAACTTCTACGCTCATCATCTAAATCGGACTAAGTGCAGATAGGTATGGTTATGCCTTCCTATACGGTGGATCTCCGTAAGCGTTTCGCCTCCTGTCGCCCAAGTGAGTCCCGACGCACATGTCCTGGGGCTTTGCTCTGATCGAAGGCGTGCACCAGCCGTGCTCGAGGGCCGCTCTATCCTGTCGCAGCTGCTTTCAGCCCTCGAACATCTTCGCCGCGTCAATCTGGTCCACCAAGACATAAAACCCCCTGTGCGTCTCGATGTGATAGCTCCGTGCTCCTTCTCACGTACCTGCAGAATATTCTTGTCGAAGGGGATCAGGTCATCTTGGCGGACTTTGGGATAAGCGCGTTAGCGGATGTCGCGGTACGCTTCCTGCAATGAATGATTTTGAAGTACATACTGAAATGCGTATCGTTGTTCTTCACAGATCAAACGACCCGCGCGTGGTACCCCGACGTACGCTGCACCCGAGACCATGGGACCGAAACGCTTCACAGATGCCTTCAAAATCGACGTTTACAGTGTCGGGTTGACGGTTATACACTTGTGCGCTTCTCACTTCCTGAGCCTCCTCTAGTGTCTACTTCTGACGTCCATCGTCCATATCATAGGTTCATGGACGTTCTTGCCCAATTGTGGAGCGCTCCGCACCCTGGATATCGTAGTCTGGAGAAAGAACGAAACTGGTTTCACAGTCGGCGTCTCAACCTGGTCCCGATTGCAGGTGTACATCTTCCCGAAGAAGGTAAGGGTTTCTCATATGAATGCACGCTCGCCGTGATACTGATATGCGTCTTAGCCACGGCAGTCTTGTTTGGCCTCATCGATGTGGATCCTGAAAAGCGTTGGAGCGCTAGTCGTGCGCTCGAATCACCCTGGCTTACGCTCCCCACGAACCTCTGAATGGTGACCTTGTTACAACGCGTCATGACCATACATGCATCTGAGTGGTACTTTATGCATGATCTTTGCCATAGTCATAAATCTACGCGCGATAGTGCTCCTATCAAGTATCATAGGGGAAGAGGTTCATCCTGAGACTTGGAACGGCGGATCTATCGGACTTACACTTGCGTCTATGTACTACGCTCACCTCAATATACACATTTTTCTTTCATTCACTAAGCTCGCTGTGGTGTGTGAGAGGGTCCTGCTCGCCGTCCCCCGGATCTTGAGCGCGATGCGGGAGGAGCCTGATGTCGCGGTCGCGGAAAGAGAAGCGCACGGCGATCGCCGAAGCGCCTGGGGCTCGATTGAATGGTCGAGTTTGGGCACTTTCCTATAGTGTAACGCGGGACGAGGCACGAGGGCCGCTTGCGTGGAGGCAAGGCGAGCGCCAGCCTCTTGCGTCGTCGCGCAGGCTTGGCGACGTGCCCAACGCGCGTCTCATGTGACCGCGTCTCGACGCGTCCGCTCCCTCCTTAATACAGCGGTCTATCTACTGACGCTGCAGAAGGACCTCTCGAACTCTGTAAAACGTCTCCCCACTCCCCAACTCTCGGAACGCACACGCTACTCGCTCACTCAGGACTAGGCACTTTCCGCCGCCCTGAGCCCGCCTCGAGTCTAAGCGCCTCGCATCTTGCGCCGTGTCGGCCCTTCAAGCTTCAAGCTTCATGATCACTCGCTCACTACGCCCACCAGTATCCCAAGGTGGCATCATGTGGTGTCACACACGTCAACAAGCACAGGTGATAAAGGTTGATAAGGTTGTGTTTGATATGTCACATAGGCATGTTACGAAGAACTCAAGTACTCAGGTCTGCGTGATGTGCGAGTTTGATTGGGGATTGAGGATCTGCGAACCTCTGTGTAGCGTGGGAAAACAGATATGCGAGTTCATGGCTGTGAGGATCGTCAGCGCGGACCAGAATACGATCAGCGGGCGCAGACGTACTGCAGGAGTTGACTCGACCGCTCTTTTGCCGTGTTTTGCGCCAGGAGCGAGTTCAGGTAGCGGTCAATGACGACACGTACGAGAGATGATTGTATGCGCACCTCCTACAGCCGCGCTACTAAAACCATCATACCACTAGGCAGAGTTATCCTGTATATAGTAGCAGTGTCATGACGTGCATGTGTTGGCACGAGCGCATGAGATAGCCGTAGGTCTACGACAGATCCATGGACTGCGGATAGTAACGGATAATGTTAGCGGCATTCAACTGGCGGCGGTAGCTACCGTTGCAAGAGAGAGAGCAAGGCTCAACTTACGCGTGTCCGCACCTCCTGGCTTCTTCATTGACTTTGGCTTACTCGCTCTGAGCGTTATCATCTTGGAGTATCTCGTGAGCAGGTAGCGAGCAGCTTGAGAGGGGACGGGACGGAGAGATAGGGCATGAGAGATAGGGTACGGCGAGGAATGCGCGTCCTGACGAGGCGCGGATGGCGGTAGTAAGAGACAAGTCGCGTTTGTCGTGGCGCGCCTATCAAGAATGCAATCGCGGCGCGGCGAATCCTGCGCGTTGATTTGACGGCCAAAGAGGAGGCGAGAACGGCCAGTTAGTCGGCGACATCGCGCTGTATGCGATCCCTTCGAGCACACAACGTGTCATCCGAAGGCAAAGCCCGCATCAACAGGGATGTGTCGCGCTAGTCTCCTTGGCGCCTGCCTCACGTTTGACGGTCCTCGCAGTGAAGGCATGTTGATGGCAGGACACAACGCAATCTCTCGATTTCGCTGGTCAAAACGGGGGGAGCGTGAGGCGGTACTCATTGAATGAGTGGTAGTCAACATGGAACATGGACTTGAAATGCCGCGGGCCCAGACTTCTTCCTGACCACCACTACTGTGCATTTCGCGCCTAATTCGAAATCCCTTCTTCCGCCCCATGGACTTGAAGTACAGACTTCGACGGTGGTGGAAAGGGCATGGCTCTGATGGGTCACCTCCACATGTCCCGGCGCTTGCTATTAACCCAGTTGGCAGCTGGCTAGTTTCCGGTGGCTTGGACGGATTCGTCCGAGCCTGGTCCTTAGACACAGGAATTCTCCTCGGCCAACTCTCGATCGGACTTCCAGTTACGTCGATTTGCTGGCCGGCCCACAGGAGGGAGCTCTTCTATGTTGGTTGTAGCTCGGGGGTGATGCTCTCGTGTTCTGTGGTCGAGAATAACGTGTGTTCTCTCACAGCGCTCAAGAGTTCGTGCTCAAGATACTCCAGTCGTTCCTAGATATCGCAGCACATAGGTTCAAAGCCCATGCAAGCGGTTCTGTACAACACCTCATAGTTACGCCGATAGCCCACGCCGACCTCGTGCTCACCAGTACAACTGCCGTTGCAAAAGCTTGGGTCATTCGAAGACTTGACCCCGGTAAGTCTCGTATCTGTATCAGACAAATGCACTAGTTGATCTGCATTACACCTTAGGAACCTGGCACGATGCGTTTACAATTCCAACTCTTCCAGCATCATATCTGGCCGGGGATCGTGCAATGGAAGTCGTGATCAGTTCGTTACACTGGCTCGAAACCCCATCTGCGCTCTCCGATTCTACTCAAGTAACAGGGCGCTTTCGGGGAGAGCTCATATGTACCTATCTTTGGCATGGCATAATGTGCGTCTCCCTCATCATGATCCTAGTCATCAACGTAGCGACCCTACCTATCAAACTGAAATGGTGTACCACTTGTTGACTACGTTATCACAGATGCTGGGATGTATCCAGCTTGTCTCCTCTCTGGTTTTTACCCGCCCCCGGAATGTGAGATAGTCTCCCAACAGTATATCCATCAGCTGATCCATACATCAGAGGTTTCTCCACGCTCTCTTCCGATAGACATGCCCTTGCCGCCATGCATCTTCATAGCGGGTTGGCAATTTACAATCTGCAAACGCAGCGTCTTTGGAGGAGCACTGCGTTGGACCCCGGATCCCGAACTTCCATTCTGCCTGCTATCTTCGTTCACGACGACCTTGTTGCCACGGGCGCAAATACCGGCAAGGTCCGTCTGTGGAACATTCGCGCCGAAGGAATATCCCATGTCCAGAAGCTCGTGCACGGTGCGCTGCGAAGTATTGATCCTTGAACCAGACGTCTCACTTATAATGCCACGAAGAGGATGTGCGGATTGTTGCACTAGTGGTACGTTACTTCTCTCCCCGTCTGTGACAGATACACTGATCCTCTACAAGTGTCACACCAGGGACGAAGGCCGTCCAGTTCTCGCAACCAGCTCTTCCCAAGGAAGAATCTATGTATGGGTGGCTGACCCCAGTCACGGCACGTTGTGTCAACCTCAAGGTATGCCCTTCGTCAGCCGTGATATGTCTCGACCCGACACCTGCGCTGATAGCACCCGCATTCTCAGAGTCCACCAACAGGGGAACGGATGATAGCAAATACGGTCTTAATGCGTCTTTTCTCGCCGTTGTTATCGTCATGGGATCTCTTGCACTATATAATAATATCACCATGTTCACGTAGACCAACTGGCAAAATTAGTCCTTGAGACTTATTGATGCAACTCAGATCTATGCACCTGAATGATCAGATACTCTTCGTTTTCATGCTTCGACGTCTGAAGGACGCCGTAGTCGCAACTGTCCGAATGATGGTTAACACTGTCGGCCGTAAGCTCTAGCTCATCCTCCTGCTTAGCGAAATACCTAACGGGAAGTGGGCCCACGAAACGGCGTCAAAGGACTACGAAGCGCGGTCGTAATCCATCTCGGTCGAATCTCGGCCGGCTCTTATGAGGTCGCAGCGTTCAAGCAACAGTAGTATTGAAGCTACCAATACAACTCCAACGTTCCATAACTAAGAAGGCGACACTCTTCCCGGGTCACCTCAGTACTCCAGAAGTCAAGAGAGAGACGTAACCTGGGGCACATCCGCGCAGTGAGCCGCGTGGGCGAGTCGCATCGCTTCCCCTCGAGCGTACGATATACGATGTGGTTCTGTATAGGCCGTGGAACCCGTCATGCATTGGTCCTGAGCACCAATGACGGTGAAGTTCGGAAAAAAGCGCGGATGGGGACGCGTTGCTGATGTCCACCAAACCGACGTAGAAGGCTTGTCCATGGCATTCGAGTCAATGTTGTGGAGCTTGTAGCAGTGTAGGCCTACCGTATAGGCTACACAGTATCGTAAGCGCCAATACAATACGTCTAGAGCGTACCGCGCGAGCGAGTTGCGGGCTTGGGATGTGAGAAGAGGTCCTTTTTTGGGCAAGGGGTAGGGGGTCGAAGGAGCCGGACAGGCAGTTCCGCATTGACGACCAGGACTGCACGGTTACTGGAATCAGACGATTTAGAAGAGTCCTAAGGGGTGGGGATCCTCGGCGGACTCGTTAGATCAGCTCGCATCAGACTCGGGCGGAGGAGGGAAATTTCATTATTTCAAGATGCAAGCGTACAAGAGGCCTGGAAGGCTCGCCTGCCGTCCTGGCAGCGCCGAGCGGTACGGTACGGGAGACACGCAAAGGAGGTTAATGAACGTGCGCCAAAAGAAAGCTGTTTGCAAAACAGGTGTGAGCGGGCAACCTCACGACGCCGGGAACTTCTTCTCTCTGTCCGTTTCGTTCCAGTTGCATCGATCCATTATCTTGCCCTAACAAGTACATAACGTGTATGCGGCCGTGGAGCCTGTGTAATGCTACTGGGAGTGGATGCACATGGAGTATAGCGAGGGAAGAGGGACCAGATGTCGTTCAATTATTGGATTGGGGGGTCCGAGATGTCAGGATGGCCGAAACGAGTCAAGTAGTTCGAGATAGTACTGTACGAGGTGAGAAGCTGTGAAGAAGACGCAAAGCAGAGTAGGAGATCGTGAGCCTAATCTATCATCCTTTGTGTCGCCTTGCGCGGGAGGATGGAGCGCACTACACTAGCGGCCGACCGTGGAGGCATGCTGCGAAGTACTCGGTGTCGGAGTGCTGAGGGATTCGGAGCGTACGCGCGAGGCCAAGACCTGGTAGAGAGATGATATGGATAGTTGGAGTAGGTGTAGGAAGAAGTAGACTGAGAACGCTGACAGGACAGGGTGGTGGCTGGTGGTAGTCGCAAAACGAACATGACACCGGCACGCGCGAGGGGCGGCGGCCTTCTCACACGCTAAGTATGGCCGTGCTGATCTGTGCCCACCTACATCCATGCTCCAGCCTGCTCATACCGCGATTGCCCCGTTGCCCTACCGTGATTGCACCGCTGCCGCTGACGATGTCTATCCAACGTGAAGGTTGCGGTTACATTGCTGAGACTCCGCTGTCTGTCGAAAGAGACGTGTGTGACCACCAAATCCAGGTCTCATCAACGTCGAGTCATCAATCCCTCTCGGCATCGCAGTCAGCTAATGGACCTTGATAATGTAGACCTGAGCCTGATGGGACGGGTTGCTTGGGACTATCACTACGCTGCACGTCGGCTCTCTCAATGCTGCCCTCGGCAACGAGCAGCAGAAATCGACTTCAGATCTGCACTTGCAGGGCTCGCGGTTGCGGAAGGAAGACGTACACGCATCCAAGCTCTGGTGATGTATTGCCTGGTCAGATCGTGGACTCTCGAGAATTAGCCGCGCACAGACGAGCAGATGAGAGTCTCCAACTTGAGGAGAACGCCAGGGATGGTGCGCTAGTTTCCGGTAGCATGATACAACAGATGCTCACGATCAATCAGCTAGGCTACGGCGCTCCGCGGAAGAGTCCGCCCCCACTTCATCCCCAGAACCAGCCCCCACGCTTTTCGAATGTCGTTCCCTCCGTGAATTACGGGCGCTCAACGAGCAGCTGTCAGACTTAGCAAGCCTGAATATGCTTCCGGAGGACTACATCTTCCTCAAGCGACCCAACTCGGCCACTAAAGAATCCGATGTAACACCAAACCTTCTCAGCGCGAAGGAAGCATCCAACGCCCCTTTCTTCACTCGGCTCGAGGCTCTGGACCATCTCTCAAGCTCTGTAGAGGGCGTAGAGATATCGTCAGACGCGATGCCGCATGCGATGGCCGAAAGGGACGCCCTCGTCACTACCATCAGCACCCAGTTCTCTCTCCTTGCCGAAGCTCTTTCTCTGGCATATTATACACAAGCTACAACGCGAGAAGCTGAAGTCGCGAGACGGGTCGCTGACGGTACAATCTTCGACACTCGCCTGTACCTGGAGCCGCCCCTCCGGAATATGCGACCTCCTGTCGCGGCCATCTGCATTATGATCGGCGCTGCGTTACTTCTTCTTGGGTGCTCCGAGGACGACTGTCGTTTTCTGCTGAGCGGCATGATTATTACAGCCCGCTTGTTCTACAAGGACGCCGGTACCACCGACGATGTAGCCGCCTCGCGCTCGGCAGAGATCCCTAAAGACCCTCGTCATGTGTTGAAGGAGAAGCTCCGCCTTGATCGCACAATCAAATATACCTCCTGGATCTCCTGTCCTTCTTGCTATGCTTGCTATGACGACCACGGACCGGGATCGTACCCGGAACGGTGCACCATGCCCCCTTCTCCGGACGGAGATCCTTGTGACGAAGTCCTCACACGCACACGCACGTTCGGAAATCGTGTATGGACGTACCCCGTGCGCCGAATCCTCATCCAGGATCTGAAGGCTTGGGTAGCATGGTTCCTCAGCCGCCCGGGGATTCTGGAGTCCCTCATCCCAGAGGTTGACCTCAAGGACGTTATGTCGGACATCTGGCACGCCTCCGGACTGACAACGTTCATGGGCCCCGACGGCAAACCTTTCATGACCGTCCAAGCTGGCGAAGTCCGTCTGGTTTTCGCACTGAACGTGGACGGATTCAACCCTTTTCAAATGAAGGAAGCTGGTAGAAAGGCCACGTCGACCGCCATGTATATGGTCTGCCTCAATCTGCCCCCTAATGTTCGGTATCGCGTCGAGAACATGTTTCTCGTGGGCATCATCCCAGGGCCAAACGAACCGTCTACTTTCCAAATCAACAACATTCTCGCGCTGCTTGTTTACATGCTCCTCGAGTTCTGGCAGGACGGGGTGTCCTACGATCAACTACCTCTTCATGACGATGGGGTTTTGGTCCGGCTAGCTCTACTTCTGATAGTCTGCGATACCCCCGCCGCACGCCAAGTCTGTGGGTTCGGGGCCCACAACCACAACTTCTTCTGCCCATTTTGCCTTCTAAAGTATCCCCAACGGGACAACGTGGACAGAAGCACTTGGATTCCCCGTTCGCTGGAGCATTATAGAGATTGCTCTGAGAGATGGCGGCAGGCGAAGACCCAGAAGGAGCGCAAGAGCGTGTACGCCGAGTCAGGAGTTCGCTACACTGCCCTTTCAGAGCTTCCCTATTGGAATCCCTTCCGCATGGTTGTCATCGACATCATGCACGCGTTGTTCGAAGGCAACCTGAAACGCATGTGTCGTGCGTTCTGGGGCATATCGGCCGCTCAGGAAGACGGAGATGGAACTACATCAGACCCCTCCCCGCTTCCAACCCCGGACGCCCTCCTTGACGAGTTGTGGCGTCATGTTCGAGCCTCTCCACTTACCGAGTTGCGCAAAATGCGCCTGGACCATCTACGAGCGCTCATCATTCGTTACAATGTTCCGATCACTTTGCTTACCGGGAGGAGTAAGAACGAGAAGGAACCGCATGTACGCGCTTTGGAAGCCTATGTACGTCATTTTCCAGTTCATATTCATGACGCATGCACCAACCGGAAACTATCAGCGCATCGAGAAGGGCTGGTTCAATGCCCAGGGCGAACGGCTGGGGGAACTCCATCCGGACCAACTTCCGCGAAGCGAACTTGAGATTCTTGAGCTCCGTGCTCATCCTGCCGAGCTCGCCGCCCTGGATGACTACTTTCAGTATGCACCTGATATGGACGAGTTCATGGTATTCTCCAGGCGCGTGCTTATCGCAAGTCTCATCATCAGGAAGTCCCTTGGTCCAAAAGATTCTCAGCGTCACGCTATCAACGAGATGTCGAAGAGGGTACTTATAGGCCAGTTGCAGTCTATGGTGAGCTGCATGTACGAGTGTCGTAGATTGTATGTCCTAACGCGTTGCAGCGCGTTGCAGCCGGCATAATTCACTCAAATGGCGAGCTCGTCGACGACTCGGACGACACCATCGACCACTTCCACGCTGCTCAGCGGAACCTACCCGGATCGGCTCGAAAGAAGTCCGTGATTCTCGGGCGGCGTCGATTGCTGGAAGTGTGGGCCGACATGGCGCGTACGATCATGCCCACTTGGATGGGAAAGGCACCCTTCCATATGGGCGACGGCAAACATCGCAAGGCCTCCGCGGATGACTGGCGACTTTTCGTATTGATCAATCTCGTTGTGACCATGGTACGCCTTTGGGGCAAATATCCAGCGATGTCACGAGAGCGCCAACTCCTTGACAACTTCTTGCATCTCGTGTCTGCGACAAAGATCGCGGCGTACCGCGGCATGTCGGTAGAGCTCGTGCAAAGCTATGTATACCATATGACAGCCTGGCTCAAAGGCTTGACCGAGTTGTTTCCAGGCATTCATCTCGAATCGCAGCAGCATCTGTCACTACATCTGGACGTGTTTCTCATTCATCTTGGCCCCACGCATGCCTGGCGCTGCTTCGTCTTTGAGCGATGGAATTACCTACTTCAACTAATCAACACCAATAACCATCTCGGTAGGATCTCGCCTCTCTCGTTGTGGACATTGCTCATTCTTGATCCAGGAGAACTCGAACTTACCATGTTCTACCGTCTCATTCTGCAGCAGCGCTTGCGAGCGATGGTTTTCGACGGCGGTCTTAGCTCTGAGCTCAAGGAATTCGAGCCCGCCTTCCAGGCACTGTTGCATAAGGATAAACGTGGCACCATGTTGAACGATATTCTAGCTCTCAACACCGACGCGCCGCCGCCGCCGCCGCCGCCGCCGCCGAGACCATCACGTAAATTCAAGGGTGTCATAGTCGAGGAAGCTATCCTGCGGCAACTTGCCGAGCTCGCCCATCGTAGGACTGGACTCTCACCAGACCCCAAACTCGTTCAGCCCATCGAAGTGAAAACGATCGATGTCGGGTCTGTATCGTTCTCGTCCGAGGCGCCCAACTGCTATGTCGGGATTGGCCCCCATTTCCCCGGAGATTGGAGGCTAGCAAAAGTCCATCGCCTATTCATGTATGCACCCCCAGGGAAACCCTCAGAAGGCGCTCGCAGCTATTACGGCTACGCTGTCGTGCGCTACTTCCGTCTCTTGGACGAGGAGGAAGTGGGACACGACACGTATCGTCAATGGTCCTTCATCGGAGGGAGGCTTCACCACGCCGACGTTGAGCCGGAACTTCACGTACTTCCGGTGGAGGACATCCTCTTTCATTGCTGTGTGACCCAGTGGGATGCTTGGGATGGTATAGACGGGCCAGTGATTCTTGGACTTCCAGGTGATCGGGTAAGCACCTCAGACACTCTTATTTGCTTAATGTTGATCCAGTTGCAGTGACAAGAGCCATGATAGCAGTCCGTAGCTCATCTTGAAGATTGTACGCCAGGAACTTAGTAGAGCATATGCGATTCTCCGGCGGCACCCCCTACATTGGGGCTGCATTCGTAGTTATCATGATGTAGCGTGCTCGACGCGCGCTTTTCCCTTCATCTCCTCGAGACGGCACTCTAAGACTCTCGTACACGTGTGCCATGCGTACAGTTGAATATAGAGAGGAGCCGTTTTCGCGCGGACGCGCTCAGCGCGTCCGAGCTACGCTAAGTAAACACGATCACGTGTAACTGCGTTCAAGCCGCGCGCACTCGCGCGTTCGTCTCCCGCTCTTGACCGCCACACTCAACGACCGCACCGTTCACGGCATATCCCCACGGCACCTCCTACGGCCACCCGACGCTCTTCCGTACCTCTGCTCAGCATTTCCTGACCGCGCTCGCTCGGTCTCGCCAGCACTCGACTCACCTCTCTCTCCCCAAATCCTTCATCGTCCATCTCGGTCGTTCTTACCTCACCCTCTTAGGCCTTCCCGTTTTGGATTCCATGATCTGGCTCCGATCTACTAAGCCTAAAGGGCTCGGCATACCATGTATATAAAAATAGGGTTTACTTCTCGCAGAAGGCACAAGCTACAAGATTTGTTGGACTTCGTACCCCTGTGTGCCTCAAGCTAGTTAGACAGGTCTATCGTCGAGTCCTCTTGCAATTGAGGGTCGTCGTTGCTGATTGATTGGCGCTCTCGTACCCCGTGGAGTCGGGCCGTCTTTGCGCTACGCCCTTAGTGCTTAAAACCGGCTTCGCACCTCAATATCCTGCCGCAGCCGCGAGCATACAGCAGCGGGAAAGATCCGCGCGGTTATCTTACAGCTCCGTGACTGTCATTGTAGCCGACGTCGAGTGCACGTGGCGAGCGCCGCAAGGTCGTCGTGAGTGACCACTATATGGCGCTCGAGCGATAACGCTGCGCCCATGGTACTCGCAACGGTGTCGCGAAACTCCCCATGCCATCTTCTCCGGTATAGGAAACGGATCTCTCAGAGAGGCCCGGGCTCTCCTCCACGATCAAGTACGACTGATCTGGCCAGCATTCACGGGGCCAGCAAGGAGGTGCTAAGGCAGTCCGGCGGTATACCCTACGCGAGCTCGAACTCGCCGAAGCTCCCACGACTGTACAATGACATATTTTTATGACGTGTTGTTTATAATCTACTTCGTCATCTTGACCCAGGAGCAAAAGCGAGTGCTAACAGCAGTCGAGGTGGTGGGACGAGGAGGATGCGAGCCGTGTCGGCGGCGGCGGCGTTCTCTCGCGCTGAGCGTAAGACCCTGTCGATCTCGCTGTGCTCGCAGGTACGCTCGTGAGTACTTTCGCAATGTCCATGTAGTCCCCCATCGCCGCGTTCAGCGTTTACTCCGAACAACTGGAGAATAGCTGGCAAGGTGATTTGGTTGTTCAAGGGGGTAAGACCACGTACGAATAGATGCTGGACGCTGTATAGCTCACAAAGAGAGGTCCTAGTGTGCGCATATGTACCATGGCCAAGAATACTGTCCGCGAGTGTCCATGGAGGCTCCGGTATGCACTGGTGTTGCACTGGTGCGAGGCCGCATTCTGATGCTAGCACGCGTGCGTTGCGTGTCTCACGTGCTCCCTGGCAAGCGTTGTCGCAGTTCCTTCTTCTTCTTCTTCCCAATCGACTACGGCTTGCACTTGGACAATCTCTTCTAGTCATTGCGATGCTGCTGCTGGCAATTATCTGATCCGAATCGCGACTTGAAGCGGCGCACGATCCCCCATCGCTTGCCCAGAGGGTCCGCATTCGCAGAGTCTGAATCAACACGTATGGCGAGCGTGGTGGAATATACATACGATGCGTCCTTTCCAAATCCCTTCTGAGTACGTAAGCTGACCCAAAAACCACAGCGCAAACACGCTCGCCGCCGCCTTGTGACGTATACCTGGTGTGTGCATGCCATTGAGACGAACCCATCCTCTGACACCGAAAACAGAGGTTTCGCCTCGGTCGGCCGTTATCCTGCGCGTTAGCAGGCTCCACAAAATTGACCGCGCTTCTTCCCACTTTGCCGATGAACTTACTATACGACATCCTTCACCATCAAATGTCGAAGCTCTGCGAGTCCTTCGTGATGCAAGTCGAGGCAGATTCTACCGTGGGAGGCCTGTCCCTTTGTGTATCCAGATTCTACGCCGTCTCATGCTGCGGTTTCGTGCCCCGTGTCGACCTCGTGTCATTTTTGACGTACTCGTCCTATGCCCTTTCCTTTGTCCTCGCTGCATGTTCGGCTACGGCCCCTCCTACCCTTCCTTACTATAAGAATGACAGTGTATCGCTAGTACACCGTCATCTCGAGCTTCGCCTTGTTCCCTTCCGCGTGCAGCCGGCCTTTAGTTTCTTCCTGTAGGTTACGAGCCGATCACCATGGTCAACGAAAGGACCTCAGAATGCACACTATTTGGAAAACTCATACCGCTTCGTCGCGGGAAATTGCTCCGAAGCAGCGCGGTCACTTTACGGAAGTCTGATTTTTTCTACTCCATGGGGACTTGCAAGGACTGCGAGATCCGCATCCGCGGGTACAAGTCTGTGGGTGCGTGAACCGTCCGTCCAATATGTGGCCCATATACTCAGCGGCTCGCAGAGCCTTATCATTGCATTCTGGAATACAACCCCGCTATAGGTTTCACAACTATCACGAATCGAAGCGTCGTCAGCGGTACCTGGGTCTGTGCTCCCCTACGTTCCTGTATGAAATGAGAGACTGATACGAACATCTTGTAGGTTAACGGCTGTTTACTATCACGCTCTGAACACCAACTTCTGCGCGACGGAGACAAGATAGCCTTAGGCGCGCCTATTTTGCCGTCCTCTCGAGGTCAGCGACTTGGTCACAATGTCCTAGCCGCCCTCTAACGAACGTTCGTAGTGTATCTCTTCAAGGGATGTGATAATCCCGAGCCCAGTATCGACGCAAAGTATGCTGTTGACTGGTACAAGCCAATCGGTCAGGGCTCTGCTGGGGTGGTCTGGAAAGCGCGCAAGCGCCTTGGTTTCGGTCTGAAAGCATACCGCGCCGTGAAAACCTTACATTGCGAATCTGGTGACAACGAACGACAGGCTCATATAGCGAATGAAGTTTCTTTGTGCCGCAAGCTCGTTCATCCGAATATCTGCACCTTCTACGAGGCTCTTGAGGATCTTCGCTCACATAGAACCTGTGCGTTCTTATCTATCGTGCCTGTTTTTCTCAAGTGCTGAGCGCGACTATGACCAGTTCTCGTGCTCGAATTGATCTCAGGTGGTGGGCTAGACAGGTTCGTTGCTCGTGCGAGTAGCAGCGAGACCGGTGGTTTAGGTGATCATCTCACAGCAGCGTGTCTGCTGGTATCGAGTGTTCACACTGTCTTTTGGGCAGGAACACATCTGGCGCGAGATATCACTGCGCAAATATGCGCGGGCGTCGCGTATATGCACTCTCTTTCCATCGTACATCGTGACTTGAAGCCTGCGGTAGGGGCTCCATACTTTTGTCTGGGAGCTTCGGTACTCAATTGTTTGCACAATTCGCAGAATATACTTGTGGATTGGACGCCTTCGGGTTCCCCTATCGCCAAAATCACGGACTTCGGCGTTTCTCAACTGATCAATAGAGATAAGCACCTCACGGTATGTTTCGAGAAGAGGTACAAGCACACGACACTCACCAGTTCACCTCAGGAGATCTGCGGCACTCCCGCATTCGCTGCACCCGAAATCGTTAGTGGGCGCTACAACATCTCTGTCGATTCGTGGAGCATTGGGGCGGTCGTAGTTTTCATGTAAGTTAAGACGTAGCCGCCCCCGGAAGCCCTGCTCACAACGTACAAAGGTTAACCAAGGCTTCGCCATGCTCATGGCCACCACGTACCCACGGCTATGATCTATGGAAGCGTATGGATGAACGAATCACGGACCTTCGTGCCTTCGTCGAAGCAGCTGGTGGAGACAGACACTGTGAGTACCTATCTCAGAGAGAAGGTCTATCATCCGTCCTCACACTTCGATAGGTAACGCTTTCGTCCGAAGGTTGCTTCACGTGCGACCTGCAGGTAGGATGCAGGTTTCAGAGGCGTTAGCACATCCATGGTTAGATGGAGCCATGGACTCTGGAGCAAGTAGACGGAAGAAGTTGACAGTGTAATATATCTTGCTGGTAGTCACAAGCCGCGGTTAATGTCATCATGAGCAGTTTTGCGCTTCTATCCAGCCTAATAACATCCTGGCTTGTGAGCGACGATGGCAGAACCATAGGCAGTTCAAGGTGCACTGATAGTGTTGGGACTATCCCTGATAGAGCCGCGCGCTGTCCGCCGAGAATCAGGAAAGGCAACGTACACGTGGCAGACGGGCTTGGGCGTTGCGTTGATGAGAGGCTTGAGGAGCGGCGTCGGGCATGATCTCTGGCACCGCTGCCAAGACCGTCGATCTTAGGAGCTACGGCTGAGGATACAACTATACGACTGAGAATGAGCCAAGCGTCTCAACAGTACTATTCAGGGCCTGAAAGTCGATTCGACATGAAGCTTTTTGTTATTGGTCGTAGTGGACTGCGTGCAGAAGCGCCGGGGCGCGAACAAGGGTAACCTCAAACACGACCAAATAACGTTAGCGGACGCGCCATGGCGCTCTTCGGGTTGGCCTCTTACCTCCACCTCCACCTCCACCTCCACCATCACTCGTGTCGCCCCATCTTAAGGTTACTGCCCTGCGTTCTTCAGCTTTGCGTCTCTCAAAACGAAGTAGGTGAACCTGGTGGGCGACACGGTGCGTGCTCATATCGTTTCGTAAGATCGAGCTGACCTTAGCGGTTTAGCTCTCATACGCTCCGAGATCCAGCCGAGGCTTTGGTGCGTAGCGTCTCCTATGTCTTGATTATCCTCCTGACAACTCTGCAGGAGTACCTTCCACTATCTCCCGTCACCGCCCCCTCGGCGCCCACGGTGGATGAATACACGACTCTCCCATAGTACCCATACGATATGCCGATATCCGTCACACCGCTTTGTGTTATGTCAAACTCGTCCACTCGTAGAGCCGCAGTCTGGCGTAGACAGATGTCATCATTGGTTCTTGCGATGGAAATATTTCGGACGGCCCGCAGCTGTCACGCGTGAACACCGCAAGCATTGTCGGGTCCTACGTGCTGCTTCCCCATCCCCGGGATCTGCTTCAAGACTTAGCAGCGGCGGCATCCTGGGTTATGAACCGACACCGTGTCTTCCGGAAGATGCATTACACGTCCTGTCCAAGTCCTGTCGGTCGCACTGGCGATGTCACACAGGGAACCCGATGTCACGTCGAAAGCTGTCACGCCTACCTCGCGTGACTACTTGTCGCCTGTGAGACAGCCCCTCTTCCAGTTGGTGACATTCGTCTGGCGGCGCGCGGTCTCCCGGCTTTGGCAATGGGGCCACAATGCCATGCTTTACTCACTCTGCCGCTGCCATTCGTGACGGCCTCAGAGAGAGGCATGCAAGCGGCGGTTCTTTGACAACCCTTGAATGCTTTGAGGTCCCGTTTCTACCCAACTGCGGGTCATATGTGGCCCGTGACTGCAAAGAAGTCTGGGTTGCCGAGATTAGTATATTAACTCGGCTGGTCTACTAGACATGGAGAACCGCACATCCCCAGGTCCGCGCCTTCAGCTACCCGTGACGGCGACTCCGGATCGGTCATTCTCAGTCAACCTCGACATGGCTCATCACGAAGTGCAAATCCCTGATAGGGATGGCTGTGTTGCTAGGTAAGTGCTTGCATCGCGCCTAGACCTAAGGACTCGGTCCTGACATTCAGGCAGGATGAAGGAATTGTCTCGATGGATATTCACTTCTGAGAAGCGTCTGAGAGACGCTCGACACGCTTTCAGCATCGCTACTGGGCTTGTAGCTCTTGAGATGCGCCATGACGGCGAATCGTCTACCCCCGACACGAGTGACGCAACCTACCTTGACTTCTATCACGCGCTCGACTATCGACCGAACTTCTGCTCGGTGGAGGCGATGGCGTTGGTTCTGCACCGGATGCAACTCGATGGCTGCGACCCGGTTGAAATGGCAGCGCACATAGACGCCATGAAGGGATACTGGAAAGGAGCCGCTCAGTAAGTTTGGGAATTCTATCCTCTGTCCGTAAACGACGAATGACCGGCCCCGTCTAGTGATTATCCAGAACTTCGCGGTCGTGGTTATCGGTTTGATCAGGGAACTTCGACGTGGATGGGCAACCCTTGTGCATCCTCGTTCTTGAGGCTGACTTGGATCGCTCTTCATCTTACCCGACGGCGGTTGGCGCTTGAGGATGAGGATCGGGTCTAATCGACGGTTTACCGCACGGATTACATCAGTGAAAATGACTCTACATATATCGCAAAGTAGTTTTGTGTACATTTGGCAATATCAAACCGGGACGAAGTTGTCCGACTATACCTAGCTTGATGAATGGTCAACTGTGGTAACGAGCCACGTTTGAAGCTTGAAGCTTGAAGCCTGCCACTTGCGGCGTTCGAGGAAGGTTGTAGAGCAGGAATGCATGTTATGCTCTCTACTCTCATGCTCCCCTTCGCACTCTCGCCCTCTGATAGCTATATGTCACGCTGGCGCTCAGGGAGGTCTTACTAGTCAGGCCTCAGCACATAGACGCTATAGACGCGTCCAGCGCGCGTCTTGCGTGACACCTCGTCCCATTGTCACTCTACAGAATACCGTCCAATATGAGGTGTCATGTTCATATGTTCAAATCATTCGTCAATGAAATCTAAGATCTAAGATGGTGTGGAGGCGTTTCAGCCGGTGGGTGATCCATGGTACATGAACCAGTTCTTGATCAAGGGAAAATCCGCTATCGAGGCGTTCATGAGCTCAGTATACCGCGTATCCCTATATTTTGCAACAACTAAGTCGCCCTTCCACGCATACTCTGAGCGAAATGCCCGGCCCTGAACTTCGCGCACTACTTGATTGACAGGGAATGGATGACCATCTCGAGAGACGACGGGATAAAAGACGGCATAGGGCGTTGTAAACTTCTTGCTCATTCCATCCAACATCTCAATTGGCTAACACGAGGTGTACGTTAGTACGCGAATCCATCAATATCTGAGCAACAGGCAATCTAACCTCAGAGGCCCAAGCTCGATGACCAACACGTTCCGAGATGAATTCCATGTACAACTCAGGATGCACGTCAACGTCATTGGTCATACTGCCGTTCAGTCCAGTACTATGAGAAGTGGCGCTTGTGGTGAAGAGCTGGACCATCCGTGGTGGGCGGTCGACTGCAGGTAAGAGAATGGCGGTGTGATGACCCAAGGCACGATCCATGGTGCTGTTCTGGTAGTACATCGCGAGTTTCGACGAGACGCTAGACAAGCTAGTGTCGGGTGGGTATCTGAATCGAGCAGCCTAGAACTGTATGATGCGCCGGAAATGGATGTCGAATTTAGCGAGAGACGTGCTCGTACTGGACCAAGGTATCGCAGAGGTCGTCTAGGTAGAGGGAAGATCGATGTCTCGCGTCCGGCGATACATGACCGTAGCGTGTGAAGTGGGCGTCAAGCACTCAACGCTGTAGTACCACCGGTCTGGCGTAACTTGCACGCGCCCATCAACATGCCCAACTTCGACCAGCTTACATGGCCATCCGCTACGGAGGATCCACCTCGCTCTGTCGGGCAGACGACAAGCACCGGAAATGCGAGTGCTGGCAGCGAAGATAATAGCGGCATGCTAGGGAGTGAGCCGAGAGGTACGTTCAGTACATCCATCATTTCCGTCGCCAATATCTGATGTGCTGTCTACGCGTCTCTAGGGATGGCATCTGCGACTCCTTTCGAACGCATGTTGGCTCTTCGTGACCTGGCCTGGGAACGAGTCGGGGGCTGGGCATGGTTCGCAGTCGAGGAGAAAGCTCTTTACAAGCTTCAGGCTGCTCGCGAGGAAATCCTCATTCAAGGCTGGCTCGAAGCCCGTCGCACGGGGTCAGACCCCGGGTTTCCAATCACAGACCAAGAGCGTGCATTGCAAGCGTGTGCTATTGAGCGCGAGCGCGAATTCGCGGAAGCAACCAGGATCAGTCAGTGCGTATCGGTAGTTTTTGTCTCATTTCACGAACTGGGCCCTCGCTCACGTCTCGTACACAGGCTTGATCAGTCCCAGGTTGACCCGGAACTGTGGCAACGAAGCGCACAATTTCTCCGTTGGTGGACAGGATTGCCCCCCAGAGCGGCAGAGGAAGCTCAGGAAGCGCCGACCCTCCCTGACGACTAAATCACTCGTGTCATTACTGTCGTTGCGATGTGAATATAGTTTAGAAAATATAGCGTTGTCCCTGGCCGCAACTGGCGTGATTGCGTCGGACTCTCCCTTGATACTACAGCAAAGCTGCCTCCAGATGTCTGTGCTTTCCC